GCTCGTCTTTGGACGGAACCCCTGGGTTCCGCGCGAGTTGATGTCAGACGACCCCCCTCGGTTTAGTTGGCCAGCAGGATCTCGACAAGACGGCGTGGGATCAAGGCGCGGCTGCCGTGGACTTCGCCAGAGCGATGAGCATCGGGCGTTCTGCTCGGTCCCAGTTATTCCAGAAAAGGGAGTCAGGCTCGGCTGAGGGCTGCAGCGAGGGCTTCGAGACATCGAGACACCAAGTATAGCCCCAGAGATTGGGTCTACGTGTGGTGCAGGGCTCCCCGGACCCAGCGCATAACCAATGCGTTGCAACGTGGCAGGGGTGGTGGTTTGTCAACATAACAACAGCGTTTGGGTGTCCATGAGAGCGAGATTGTGGAAATTCGCCAGCGAACAGCTCAGGCCCGCCACTGGGCCAGAGGCGAGGGGGGCGGAGATTTTGCGAGACCCCGCGGTGGCCTCCATGATCAGGGTGAATGTCATGCGAGAGGGCCCCCCCCCCGGGGCTTGGGGAGATCCGGTCCCGCCTGTTGAAGGGGCCGCGTCGGCCCCTCTCCCCTCCATGCTTCCTCCCGAGACCTCGGGGCCCCTCGGCGACGCAGGGCGCGGCGAAGTACCGCGGAGAGGCGAAGGCGCTCCTGCAGGCGCCGGAGAGAGGGATATTCCTCATGTCGAGGAACTGCGCGCGCCTGAGAGGCAGGTCTCAGTCGGGGAGTCGACTCGATCAGGTCTTCCCGTGTCCGGTCCTTCTCCTGCTCCCTCGGTGGCCCACGTCTGGATCCGCGGCCCCGAGCGCGGCCGATCACCCGAGCCCGTCTCCTCTTCCCCCGGCCTCCGGGGGCCCCGGCGTGGACGAATCGCAGCAACGGCGCGAGGCCGTCCGCAGAGCTCGTCTCCTTGACTTCGGATAGATGAGGAGACGCCCCCAGGGCGACCGCGACGAGGCGTTTCGTCGGATGCGTGAGGAGCAAACTCGCAGACACCAGGCCAGGCTGGAAAACCTCCCTCAGCCGATTGTGGACCCCGAAGGGTCCTCGGAGGGGCGCGTCGGGCGAATGATCGCCGACTGGAGCAGAGTCGGTTCGAGAGTTTCTCCCCCCGAGCCAGGAAGAGCCAGGCCCGGGTCTCCAGACTGGGGTGCGTCGGGATCCGGCGGGAACGCCCGAGATCGACGACGTGGTCCTCCTGTCTCTCTCGGAGGAACAGCTCGGTCAGTATTTTCTGTCTCTGCACGAAGGAATGGCCGACGGGGGTTGGAGCGGATCTTGGGTGGAATTCGAGAATGGAAACGCCGACGTGGAGCTTATTCCTGGGGGGGGGGCCGAGGTCGGCGCCTTGGCGCTGGTCACGTCCAGGGGTTCGGAAGTTTCGAAGAAGCGCCTGAGTCCGGAGGGGGTGGCGGAGTTCGACGCCGCCGACGCCGAGGAATGGTCAGCCATCAAAGACACGAAGACGGTGCGGGTGTTCCCACCCGAGGAAGGTCGAGTGCTCTGGGCTAGGTGTCCTAATCGGGTAGTGTCCAGCCGTGTGGTATGGTGATGCGGTGGAAACCTCGGGAAGGAACGTCTTCTCGCCCCGAGGCTAGAAAGCCGTTGGTGTGTTGGAGGACGCGAGGGCGAAGACGCCGGATAACTTAGGGTTTACTCCCGCACTCCTCAGGTGGAGATTGATGTTGTTTCTGACGATGCGAGTGGCTCTCGACATGGACGTCCAGATCGGAGATCTCAAAAATGCTTTCTGTCCAAGCGATCCCTTAGGTCGCCCCTGAGGGAGGGTTCTCATCGAACCATGTGAGGGACTGTCCCTTCCCCCTGGGTCTCTGATCGAACTTGTCGCCCCTGGTTATGGATTGGGCGACGCCCCCCTCGCACTGCAGCGCACCGCTGTAGCCTTCTGCGAGTCAAAGGGGGTGCGTGAAGTCGAAGCTCGAGCCCTTTTGGGTGACC